ATGTTATACCTATCTATGCAATACAGTGGAATACTGCAATAAGTTTAGTATACGACCCCTATTAATCAAACATTTTTGTATTTTATTTATAATATATATATATATATATATATATATATATATATATAAAAATTATTAGGCTATTATTATTGTTATTATACCCTCACTGGGGCTGAGCCCCCCTAAAATTAAAATCCTAGAATCGCCCCTGGTTTCCATGGTTTCCTTTGCAGCCGTCTATGAGAAAGACTTGCTGTATGTTTTAATGATTAGAAAGATTGATGATTTTTAAGGGAATTTTTGGAAATTTTAAGTGTCTTTTGACAAGAGAGCTTTAGCATTTGTAGACTAGATCATTTTGACCTATAATTGCAACCCAGAAAAATGTTAACTGTTCCCACTGATCCTGTCTGAACCAGTTTGGTTTGATTACACCATATTGGTGTAATCTACATAAAGAATATGGCATGCATGCAGTTGCCTACCACAAAAACAGATTTTTTTTGTCATAATTGTGCAGCCTTACCATTTTGCTTTGCCAGTGTAACCCTTCCGGTCCTAACCGCCCCGCTCCAAGAAAGACTCGAACCCGGGTCGCCTGGATGGGAAGCGGGCACACTAACAAGGACGCTAAAGACCGCTGCATCTAGTGCCAGTTGCTAGTGCACCTCTTGAGATCAGAGGAGTGAGGTTTAGCTGCACAGCTCTCTTAATTGATTCAAAAATACAAACTAAATTCATACATACTTATGTGATTAACATGTTTTTAATTTCTAATAAAAATATATTTATGAATTAAAAATTTGTACGAAAAATATTCACATTCAAAAAAGTTTAAAAATGTTAATGATTCAGATGTATACACTATTAAAACTAACAAACAACAATGACAAAAAAATATATATATTGTTCATATGAAACCAACACTGAATACAAAGAATTTACATACAACAACTTGACACATGCTTTAAACTAGATATTTCCTTCATTTTAGAAGATTTGTCCTTTTTTCATCGTGGACCCTCTAATATGTCATTTTCCTTTAATCTGGTTAATGCTGATCTAGTTTTTGGACCAACATAGCTCTTCTGTTTACTAACGATCAAGGAAGTCCTGCTGGTTTATTTAGTTGGAAGGCTGGTGTGGACGCTAGTGCCTGTGACCAGTAACCATGCTAGTCTTTGCATCAGGTTTGATATTTGCCATCATAATTCAGTGTTTCTTTCTTAGTGTTTAGGCAAAATCTTTTTGTATGCTGATACAAGCATTTGTCTTCCTAGAAAGTTCTCTTGGTGACTCACCTCACTATTGCATTAGCCGTGTATGGCATTTTACACGTCTGTGTGTGTTCATCTCAGTGCAAGGCAATTACACCAAGATGAAATATTCATTGGGTCCCCGGACGCTTTCCATTGCGCCCTCAAGCCCGGCATGAGGGTGTAGATTGCGTCTGCGAAGCGTCCTCTCCTGTGATACAACATCAATGAGACGTCGTGAAAGTGGCGTGAGATGCCATTCGGGCTTTAACGACAAACATAAAAGAGATCCCGGGACCTGTCAGGTCTTTATATCCCTGTAGCGAATCAGCTCATGGGGAAATATGAATAATTAATCATAACTAGTTATAATTAATTATAAATATTTAGATCCGCTGTAGATATTTCTCTGCCCCCTGGGTAAACCTTCAGGGAAATCAACAGTTTGATATGCAGAGGCATGCTGAAAAATGTATGGGGGTAATAAAGGCATGCACAGATGTGGCATTTAGCCAAATATGTTTGCTGATATATAACCATGCCCGTGTCAGCCTTTGAGCGTAGTCACCGTCTTTCATCGTTGATATGACAAAAAGTCATTGAGGGGGATCCAACGCTGATCTGGCCTTGTTTGTGTTTATGTATGTTCTCTGACATTTACTTTGCGACACGAAAAGTGCCCCTGGGTGTCACATTATGGATACTGGGGGGCTTTAGAGGGAGAAATTCTCATTTTGCCGAAATGAAACTTACGCTGGGACCAGCCTTTTATCATCTAAGTGCTTTTTGGTTGATGCACTTTTTATGCTTGTTGACAGAATTTCTTTTCTCTTTTTTCCTTTCGCTCCAGGCCTCGTGAAGCTGGGAATCCACTGTGTCACATGTCAGAAAGTTGCCATAAAAATTGTAAACCGGGAGAAACTCAGCGAGTCTGTGTTGATGAAGGTAAGATTGTGCTATTCCTTCGATGTACTGCACTGAACTATAATGGAATTGAATGTTGTGAATTTAATCTGTCAGTTGCATTTGCACTGTAGTGGGTGAGGTTTGAATATTTACATATATTTAGAGTACTTACAAAGCTGATTCTATATGTTTATTTTTGTGTGCGCTCTTTCTGAAAGGGAAAGTTAGTGCCATTTCTGTCCTAATTATGCTGAGGTGCTTGCTATAGCATCAAAACACGAAAAAGCCTTTTGAGTACGAACAGGCCATTGTCACTGTGCTGCTGAACTGCTGTCAGGGGATTGTTAGTGTATTTGAAAGGATTACCCACAATTATTTTACCCACCTTGAGTAGTTGCCTAATGGTTCACAGCAGCATACTACCACTATCAGACTGGACATTGATTAGTAGGAGTTCAGTTAAGGTTATCTCTAATTGTTCATTATCCAGTTTAAATCATGCACAAGTGAGTGTTGCCGTCAGCTCTCCATCTCTGATCCTCTAATTGGGTGCATATTTTGCTGAAAGTGATATGTTTGTCACATCATGCTTAGCTCATGATATGTGAAGTTCCTTCTATGTTTGTTGAAAGCCAAATGTTGGGGAGAAATTCACTAAGAATTAATGGCATCCATAAATTGGATTAGATGCAAATAATCAGGAAATTTGGGTTGTTCACACTATTCACAAATTAAACGGGCCAATTTGCGACAAGGAACATTTATAAATGGAAACAGCCTTGCTGATTGAGCTCAAGTGTTAGAACATTTCTCAGGACTGATGAAGAATTAGCAATTTGTCTTTGTTAGGTCTAATAATGAAGTGTAATTTCCAGATCCAGAAGCAACCATATACACTTGATTTGACTGTTAGAAAAGAAGAAGTAAAATATTACATCTATTGAGGTTAATGCTTAAGGATTATGTATGTTATTCCTGCAGCACTAAATGTAACTGTATCCCATATCGGGATGAAACAGTAGACCGCCCTCTGGATATGCAAAAAGAAAATTCAAAATCTTCTTCACAAACAATATCATATTCTTTAAAAAAAAAAAATTTTACAGGGTTTTTGAACAGTGTTTTGTTTGGAAACCGATGGCGTATGATGCAACACATTACTGATCGGGTTTATAGTTTTCAGCACATTCTTACTGATGCTTTTTACAAGTCATCTTTGAGATTTGTTTGCCAGTGAGAAAACATTTCTGGACCACTGAGACTGCAATTGGATGGTCCCCAGATATGATTTTTGTGCTTCTATGTAGTGCATATTTTGCACCTATGGTTGTAAGGATGTTTAGCTACTTTCTGGAAAATAAGATAAGTACTGATAAAAATGCAATTTTTTTAGCTGTACAAATATGGTGGTCACATACCTATGCGTTTATTATAACATTCTGAAAGTCATCAGATGTTCTTTGCTTTATACAGTGAATAATCGAGTCTACTACTACTGTGGTATTCATTTTAAGAAAAAAAAACTGACAAGATGGGCTTAAGAAGGTGCTGATGTTGCCAATTTGCTTTATGAATGCAGTGAGCTTTAACATAAAAGACACCTCAACTTTTGACCCAGTCAACGTAATTTCCTCTCAGTGTCCATCCAGCATCATATGGATTTCATTAAATGGATAATGGCTCATTAACTCCTGGTGGATTGTGGGGCAGTAGTAATTTAGATGAGCTGATTGGTTCCTCATTGTAATTGGATGTGAGAGTGGGCTATACAGTCATCCGGTCCACATGCAGTCCCCAGACCCCCCTGCTCGCTCATAGGTGTTTGGAGTGCGGGGGAAATTGCTTCTCTGCAGGAAATAGACCTAGGCCTTATGGGAGTCTGATTGTGGATGCAAGCTTTTATGTTTCTCATTTTCTTGCTTTACTTTCCTCACCAGGCTGAGGCTATAATTTAGAAAACAAACGGATGCTGTCTGATCCCAACATAGAGTCAGAGTAAAGCCACCTCCATGACTGATAGTTAGTCGTGTTTCTCTGAAGGTCACCCTGTAACCCATTCTATTGTATCTACAGCTTATTTTAGCTTCTCTCAGGGGCTGTTGTCATGGCAACCTGACATGATTGGCTTGGGGAGGGAGGTGAGGGAGAAAATTATATGCCTATCGTAAAAACGGCTTCAGATGTTGCACGCCTACGTCAAGGTATCTGCGATTGTTTTTTTTTTGTTTTTTTGAACAACGGGAATCAACGATGGAGGCAAAAGAGCGAGACTGCAACCTGCTGTTCTTACGCATCAAGAGTCCCAAAGTCTTGGCTAATCTTCTCTATGGTTTAATTTCCCATGGTTCCACATTGATTTGTCCCATTTAAACTAAAGTTCTGTTCAGCTCAACTCATTGGATAGTCTTCCAGTCATTGGCTGCTATGTTTCTCCTAGAGTTCCCCCCTCATCACACTCTTGAAAGAATAAATAAACAATAATGACTTCATTAGCATAATTTTAGACCGTCGACGGGAGGTCACCTGTCATTCTGTTGTTTTCCTCCTTCTTCTCTTTCCTCAGCCTCCAGCAAACCCCACGTTGGTTGGCATTTGCATAGCGTGGAGCCGGTGTGCAGCTGTCAGTGTGTGGAAGAGCATGTGTGGTTGTATGTTGAAAGCAGGGGGCTCGGGTACTTCCTGTCAGTGTGTGCTTGCTGGGACACAGTATTCGAAAGA